TKWAMYTATCATSTKRAWGTARARSTARATGTYTYTYTATYTYTATATATATATATATATATATATATATATATATGRATGRATGRATGRATGRATGRATGCATGRATYRAAATAAAGCTATTAAAATCTGAAAGAAAATCCAAAACAGTTCTGGTRCCAAATATGTTGAATAAAGAATTCTCAACCTTTACTAATACAGTCTGATTTTTATCTCAGGGGAGGCACATGCCTCATAATAGGGTTGCCAGACACCTTAGATAAGGGTGCTCCTTATTTGGGGATCAGAAATTGTGCCCTTTATTGGGATGGCAAGTGTTCCTTGTTATTAATGAAGTATCCTACTTGAGGGTTGGGAAAGCTTTTCCTTTTATATAGACAAAATGACAAAAATGGCTGTATTTTGGGATATAGGTCCTTCAAAAAGTCAGAAATGTCTGCATCATGTGAAATATAAATTTGTGTTAATTTTACAGAGAAACATTGGCAAGGTTAAGTGAAATCAGTACATTGATTTGATATTTAAATTGAAGACAAACTTGTTAACATAGCTGCTTTCTTATTATCGATCCTGAATATCATTAATTTTGGCTGTTCTTTATTGCTATTTTGCAAAACTAGCAACAGAGGTTCTCACTAGTGATCGATTTGAACTTCATTATCAACACTGATTTTTTTTTTAAAGTGTTCAAATGGATAATTGTATCCGGCTGAGATCTTACATTGTTTCGGCATACCTGCTGGCCAAGTTATCTTACACATTCCTGATAGTGAATACCAATGCAGCACAATATATGTGGCTCAGTGTTTAATGAGCTTGGCTGACAGCCCATCATTTAATTGCAATTATCTAGTCCAATGTGCAATGCACAAGGACAATGCATAGAGCCAATTCATAGAGCCAATGCATAGATACACACTACTTCGTGTATTTTATTGTGTGAATACATGAACATCTTCAATTATCCCGTCAGTTGGAGTATTGTGCATTGCTCCAAATGTCATTATGTGTGTGTAAAGCAAGCTATACATGTGTAAGTCACTAATAGGATGCCAGTTAACATCCGTTACAGCATTCAATTGAAAATGTGAGGGTGAGATGAAGGAACCATGTGGCACCTTTGTGCCTGATATAGTTTAGCATGAGCCCTCCTACGACTTGTGTACATCACTTCGTTGGGGTTGTGATCCTGACACAAGATGCCCATGGCTATTAATTTACAACGTGTTTCACTTGGCTTTAATTCAGTAAAAAACTTTTGTCTTTTACTTCAAGGTTTTACAGAAAATCCAAACCTTTAGGAATGTGGTGTCCTTCCAAGTGGCATTGCTTCGCTGTGTTGTTGTGAAGGGGAGTTAGTGGAAACTGGAAGTGGTTGGTGGGAGGTGAACATTCCCACCAAGAAACAGCTTTTTCCAGGGTTGAAATTTATTTATTTTTAAAAAGAAGTTCGTATGTATGGGTGTGTACACGTGTATACTCATACATTAGTACATTAGCATTAGTGCACTTCTCCTTAAACAGAAAATACATGTATCCACATGCATGACAGAATAACAACCACAAGAGTGGAGTGCCCACAACTACGTGGCTGAAAATGATGTATTAGTAATGTAGTGGCCTAAGGACACTCAGTGAGCAGAAATATAGTTACTTATATCCATTAACTCTGGTCTTCTGGATATAAATATGAGGCACTGTCTCGGGTCATATATTCTAACTTGTAATTTCCATTCTATATATGAGCCTTAAAGAAGTTGAATTTCTGTTGAAAAGCACAATTCCATCTTGAGAGAAGGATGCTTGGCAGAGAATTAGGATGTTACATGAACCTCCTTTCTGTTTACACAGGGTATCTGCTCAGGTCTCTGACTGCAGAAGCTCAGTGTCAAAATATTTACCAGGAATTCTCAGACTGCATCTTAAAACTGGGAGAAAATATGGCCAGCTATGAGGAGGAAGAGGAGGAAGGAGAGGAAAAGACCCCGGTGCAAGGACTGCATGTTGTTTGTGGGTGAGCAGCTATCTCTGACTTCTGTACTTAATACATATCAAACTACTATACATAGGTGGATGGTCATATGCTGGGAATGTTTTCATTGTGTATTCCTGCGTGGCAGGGGGCTGGACCGGATGGCCTTGGGATCCCTTTCAACTCTATGGCTCTATGTGCTACTAAATCCACTCATAAAGAAAGAGTTTGTTTCTTCATATTCAGAAGGATTCCATCTATGCATAAAATAAAGTTCAAGCCCTAAACTGTAAGACAAAAATCCCTACAGATGTATTGTAGAACCCAGACAGTGTGAAGATCAGACCAGATTTGCATTTCTTAAACATTAGAGGTCTTTGGTTCAGAATTCTTAACACCTCTCCTTCTTAAGCTAGGGTGAGTAAAATTTTTCTCTAGTGACCAGTGACTTTTCGAAAAGGTTATGAATCCCATTTCCCAAATGGCGAGGGAGATGCACATTTTCCAAAATCTCCAAACCCCCGGATATTCAGAGATACACTCCTGACTACCCAAAACAGGACAAAGTCAGTTTAAAGCCAAAAACACCTTCTCAACAAACCCCAAACACAATGGTGTTCACCAGAAGCCATTGTATGTTATGAGGACAGCCAGCAGCCCATGCATGGTAGTATGGGATTTTTGTTTTGTTTTTTTGTTTTACTTTTTTTGGCCAGTGTAGATAAGTTCTTAGTCTGCACCTTTACAATAAGGCATTTGAGTCAGAAGTGGGTTGCAGCCATTTGTTTCTTCCTCATCTACGGAATGTTAAGTAGCAAAACACCATCAAGGCTGTGGATGTTCAGCTTGGAGCATACTTGGGTGAAGGGTCTGATTAAAAGCAATGACAGAAGAAGGAAGAAATGGAGAGTTGCCTGAGATATATTACATTTCACCAAAGGTTCCAATTGTGAACATACTGGATGAGAAGGGTAGAAGGTGAGTTAGGAAATGTGGAAGGCAATTTAGGAAAAGTTGAAAAATGTGGTGGCAATGAAATACCTAGGCTGGTAGAAGCAGCGCTGCTGAAATCCAAAAAGCAGAGAAGACTATAAATAAAAAACAGGGACAGCGGCAAGAGCAGGCTGGATTAAGGGACAAAGGCATTTCTCATCTTACATGGAGAAGGATTAATGAAAAAAACAAAAAGGTCTCAAAAAGGAAAATGAGGTGAGTCTGAATGGGGGGACAGATACCTAGATGAAGAATCCCGAAGAAGGAAAATGTAACAACAAATAAGAAATAGACTATGATTTAGAATCTGAGGTCATTATTTTTTATGTACATCGTTTCGGCAAACTGATACAGATATTTTGGACTGCAAATTCTATATGCTCCAGTTAACATGCCCAGTGGTCAGTTGCATTTTAATGTGAGTTATATTTTAAATCACCTTAGAACAAAAAACACAAAACCCTTTTTCAATACTCACCGGAGATTGCTGAGCATCATGGGGACAGTCAGTGGTCCATCTGAGGTGTTAAGTTGGGTTATTTTTGCCAGTGTAGATAAGTCCTTAGTCTGCATCTTCACAAGAAGACACTTGAGACTGTGTAGACCAGTGTTTCTCAACCTTCCTAATGACGCACCCCCTTAATAAGTTCTTCATGTTGTGGTGACCTCCAACCATAAAATCATTTTCATTGCTACTTCATAACTTTAATTGTGCTACTATTATGAATTATAATGTAAATATCTGGTATGCAGGATGGATTTTCATTCACTGGACCAAATTTGGCACAAATACCCAATATGCCCAAATTTGAATACTGGTGGGTTTGGGGGGATTGCTTGGAGGATTGATTTTGTCATTTGGGAGTTGTAGTCGCAGGGATTTATAGTTAACCTACAATCAAGAGCATTCTGAACTCCACCAATGATGGAATTGAACCAAACTTGGCACACAGAACTGTCTTCACCAACAGAAATTCTGGAAGGGTTTGGTGAGCATTGACCTTGAGTTTTGAAGTTGTAGCTCACACACATCCAGAAAGCACTGTGGACTCAAACAATGATGGACCTGGACCAAACTTGGCATGAATACTCAGTATGCCCAAATGTGAACACTGGTGGAGTTTGGTGAAAATAGAACTTGGCATTTGGGAGTTGTAGATGCTGGGATTTATAGTTCACCTACAATCAAAGAAATGTTTGAACTCCATCAACGATAGCATTGGCCCACACAGAACTCCTATGACCAATAGAAAATACTGTGTTTTCTGATGGTCTTTGGCAACCTTCCTGACACTCCCTCATGATCACTCCCGGGGGTCCCGACCCCCAGATTGAGAAATGCTGGTGTAGACAAATGTAATATTGCCTTTTTCTGGCCTTGCAACTGTCCTTTGGATTACTCAATATTATTATCCCACATATTGTAGATCGTGATGGAAGTTTAGATGGGGGAGACTCAGGCAGAGAAAGTAACTTGACTAGGTATACTTAGAGAGTTCATGGGAGAAGAATATATTGAATCAAGAACTTTCTAATTTGTAGTTCAGTTTCTTATTTACTATCTTGAACAACTGTACTACTTTAGCTTTGAATAGCTACTGCTAAGACTACAACTTTCAGGATCCACAAGCCAGCACAACTAATGGTCATGCTGGTTGAGGATAGTTCTGAGAGTTGTTGTTCAGAAAGCAATTTTTCTTCTTCTTCTTCTTCTTCATCATCATCATCATCATCATCATCATCATATAATTTTTTATTGTGATATATGAGAAACAAAAATGACAACAACAATCTTCAAAATTCAACAATCAAAGTACAAGCATTGTTTCCTCAGTCTCCCCACCTCTCCATTTCTACCTGTGAACCTCCAGCTATGACACTACACCAAATGGAACTAGTATCTAACAAAAACCCGGTCTTGTCATTACACTCATAAATCCCCTGTTTGGCTATTTCAAAATCTATTTTGTCTTCTTTTTTAAATACCCAAAGGCCAGTCTCCACCTTCTAGCAAATTCTTCATTATTTCTTCGCCTTAAGCCATTGGAGAGCTTGGCCATTTGGATATACTCTACTGCTTTTCTTCTACAATCCTTGATAAGTAGTTCTTTCCCCCCATCCCACGATTTTGCTATAATAATTCTCTCTGCCACATAATTATATTGGCAAATTTCTACATCATCTTTACAAATTCTCTCATGAAACAAACCCAATAAGCACATTTCTGTGTTTTTCTTAATCTTCTTAGTAATCATTTTGTCGGTTTCTATAGCAATTTTTCTAAGCTCTGTGCTTCTCATTCAAGGTGGTAAATAGCAAAGCTGATGATGATTATACTGATTCAGTTTAAGTATAATATAAGTCAACTCCTAGGCAGCACAATAATGTGTGATATAAAGTACTATAAAGAGTAGAACTCTCAAGACTGAGAGATCTTCCTGACAGATATTTGAAAATGAAAATAACATGAATTTGTTTTTTCTTGCTCAACACATTACATTTGGCTTTCCCTACCCTGGCTGCACCACACTTTACCTGAATCTATGCCAACTCAGTATTTTGCATCTATGTTGGATCACAGTTCCCAGAAACTGTGAGGATAATGGGGATTGTAATCTAACAACATAGAAGATGTTGGTTTTGAGAAGGGTGTCCTAAAAACCTATTCTGAATTGTTGTGACCTTTCCTCTGATTTATATTCCAAATCTTTGCTTTTGCTTAAGGTTGTGCACTGTGAGTTCTTGTATGTGCATGGGTTTTGTCAACACTATCAAGGAGCATTTTCCACCTTAACTCTCTTTTAATCAGACAAACCATAATGGGTCAGTAGTTGGATGTTAAGACTCAAACCAGCTCATATTAAATGATCGCAATTTTTATACACTTGGTCTCTGCATATGGCACATTTGCCTTCTATGTTAAAGTAAAAGTAAAGGTTTCCCCTTGACATTAAGTCTAGTTGTTTCTAACTCTGGGGGTGGTGTTCATCTCCATTTCTAAGCTGAAGAGCTGGCGTTGTCCACAGACACCTTCAAGGTCAGAAAGGAGTGCTGTTACCTTCCTGCCGGAGCGGTACCTATTGATATACTCACATTTACTTGTTTTCGAACTGTTAGGTTGGCAGAAGCTGGACCTAACAGCAGGAGCTCACCCTGCTCTCTGGATTTGAACCACTGACCTTTTAGTCAGCAAGTTCAGCAGCTCAGCGGTTTAACACACTGCACCACTGGGGGTGCATTATATTTTATTTTAATTTTCTTGTCAGTAAATTGGGTGCCCCAGGTCTATTTTATTTATTTACATATATTTGCAAAACTCCTGGATCCTTGGGAAGAGCTTAAAGAGGTAATGCTGAATGTGAATAGTTTCAAGCACTGCAAGCTTTTGGAGGCATCAGTTGCCAGTACTGGGTAGATTAGAGATGGAATCCAGAAGCCAGAGATGGGGAGCACATGGTCTTCCAGATGTTGTTACACTGGAACATCCATTGACTATAGCCATCATAGTCAATGGTAAAGGACGATGGGATGTGCAGTCTAGCAGCATCTGGAGTGCCACATGTTTCTCAACCCAATTACAAATGAATGGTTGTATAATTTTAAATCTTACACTATAGGTCCTCAAAGTGTGGCTCTCCAGATGATGGACTCAACCTCAAGCAACCTTGGCATGCAAAGACAATGGCGAGGGTTACTAGGAGTTGTGTTAAAACATCTGTTGAACTGTATGAAACTTTTCTCTGTCTTAAAACAGAATTTGGGTAATTCAGACTCTTCAGCCAGCATGACTAACAAAGTAACATTTCTACATATCCACACCAAATAGCTTGTGGGACTTTTACCCAGCGATAAACCTATGGTACTGCAGTGTAGGAAACATGAGATATCACAGTACATGCATAACAACAACAATTACGTATTGGAGGCATATTGTGATGGAGTGCAGCTTCAGGCCCGATTAGGATTAATTTATTTTTATTTATTTGATACACTTGTATACCGCTAATATCTCAGCCTGGAACGGCGACACATTGCGGTTTACAGCAATT